CCTTATTGGGAACATAACAATGCATTACTATATGGATCCAACTGTGCAACCCTTACAATAAATACCATGTGAATTTAAAATAAAACAAATCATCATAGCGCAATTGCCATTTGAGTCAGAGAGATACCAATTTTACAAACAAATACGTGCAGCTATATAATTGTGATTTAAATATTGTACGCTTTCAAGTGAAGATATATGGCGTCAATTGATTTACAATAGTAGAGACTAAGCTGAACACTTGTAGCTTGTAACTGTCGAACATGTGTAACTGTGGTTCCTATCAATGTACCAAATGTCTTTTCTATGTGTCTTCAATACAAATATGCTATGTGCAGCTCTGATAACAATGCATGTTGTTCTGCACCACGGAGCCCTGCTTGCCTCTTGTTTGAAACGTTGTCGGTGACGGCTGTGACGGAGGCCAGAGAGATGGTGTCGGGGTCGGGGCCTCCTCCCAGAAACATGCCCTGACGATCCAGGTCCTCCGTCTCCAGGATAGCGGGCTCATCTGGAGATCAGAAAGAAAGAAAATGTACTTCATTACTTTCCACCAGTCAGCATGAGAGGTTAAGAAACTGATGCATTTGTGTTTCCGTCAGAGGTGGGAAGTAGTGGATTACAAATACTTTGTTACTGTACTTAAGTACATGTTTCTGGTATCAGTACTTTACTCCACTACTTGTTTTTCGGACGACTTTTTACTTTGACTTCTTACATTTTAAACAAAAATACCTGTACTTTCTACTTCTTACATGTTGAACCCAAATACCTGTACTTTCTACTTCTTACATGTTGAACTCAAATACCTGTACTTTCTACTTCTACATGTTGAACCAAATACCTGTACTTTCTACTTCTTGCATGTTGAACCCAAATACCTGTACTTTCTACTTCTACATGTTGAACACAAATACCTGTACTTTCTACTTCTTACATGTTGAACCCAAATACCTGTACTTTCTACTTCTTACATGTTGAACCCAAATACCTGTACTTTCTACTTCTTACATGTTGAACTCAAATACCTGTACTTTCTACTTCTTACATGTTGAACCAAATACCTGTACTTTCTACTTCTTACATGTTGAACTCAAATACCTGTACTTTCTACTTCTTACATGTTGAACCAAATACCTGTACTTTCTACTTCTTACATGTTGAACTCAAATACCTGTACTTTCTACTTCTTACATGTTGAACCAAATACCTGTACTTTCTACTTCTTACATGTTGAACCAAATACCTGTACTTTCTACTTCTTACATGTTGAACCAAATACCTGTACTTTCTACTTCTTACATGTTGAACCAAATACCTGTACTTTCTACTTCTTACATGTTGAACACAAATACCTGTACTTTCTACTTCTTACATGTTGAAACAAATACCTGTACTTTCTACTTCTTACATGTTGAACTCAAATACCTGTACTTTCTACTTCTACATGTTGAACCCAAATACCTGTACTTTCTACTTCTTACATGTTGAACTACAATACCTGTACTTTCTACTTCTTAATGTTGAACTCAAATACCTGTACTTTCTACTTCTTACATGTTGAACCTCAAATACCTGTACTTTCTACTTCTTACATGTTGAACTCCAAATACCTGTACTTTCTACTTCTTACATGTTGAACACAAATACCTGTACTTTCTACTTCTTACATGTTGAACCCAAATACCTGTACTTTTCTACTTCTTACATGTTGAACACAAATACCTGTACTTTCTACTTCTTACATGTTTGAACCACAAATACCTGTACTTTCTACTTCTTACATGTTGAACACAAATACCTGTACTTTCTACTTCTTACATGTTGAACACAAATACCTGTACTTTCTACTTCTCACATGTTGAACACAAATACCTGTACTTTCTACTTTCTTACATGTTGAAACACAAATACCTGTACTTTCTACTTCTTACATGTTGAACACAAATACCTGTTACTTTCTTACTTCTTCACATGTTGAACATCAAATACCTGTACTTTCTACTTCTTACATGTTGAACTCAAATACCTGTACTTTCTACCTTCTTACATGTTGAACACAAATACCTGTACTTTCTACTTCTTACATGTTGAACCAAATACCTGTACTTTCTACTTCTTACATGTTGAACCAAATACCTGTACTTTCTACTTCTTACATGTTGAACTCAAATACCTGTACTTTCTACTTCTTACATGTTGAACCAAATACCTGTACTTTCTACTTCTTACATGTTGAACTCAAATACCTGTACTTTCTACTTCTTACATGTTGAACCAAATACCTGTACTTTCTACTTCTTACATGTTGAACTCAAATACCTGTACTTTCTACTTCTTACATGTTGAACCAAATACCTGTACTTTCTACTTCTTACATGTTGAACTCAAATACCTGTACTTTCTACTTCTTACATGTTGAACCAAATACCTGTACTTTCTACTTCTACATGTTGAACCAAATACCTGTACTTTCTACTTCTTACATGTTGAACCAAATACCTGTACTTTCTACTTTACATGTTGAACTCAAATACCTGTACTTTCTACTTCTACATGTTGAACAAATACCTGTACTTTCTACTCTTACATGTTGAACACAAATACCTGTTACTTTCTACACTTTTACCTGTTGAACACAAATACCTGTACTTTCTACTTCTCACATGTTGAACCTCAAATACCTGTACTTTCTACTTCTTACATGTTGAACTCAAATACCTGTAACTTCTACTTCTATCATTTTCCAAACAGCTGGTTCCTTTAGTCTGAATGTGTGTTTGATGCGTGATCATTCATTCTTTAGAGTCATTGCGTGCCTATTGATTTGAACACGATCCGTGTATCCATCATTTCCTGGTCTTCTCTAAAGAAGAGGGACCAATGGAAACGTTTGTCATGTTGCCGTTGTTCAGCATGGAAACATTCATTAGCTAACAATGACATTATTGTTCTATTAATATAAAGGGAGGTCAGGTACTCTTTAAAACAGCTGCTAGTTATGGGTACTTTTTACTGAAGTACATTTCAAAGTTCTTTACTTTGACTTGAGTAAAGAAGTTTAGTCAGTACTTCTACTTTTACCAGAGTATTTTTAAACACGAGTATCTGTACTTCTACTTCAGTTAAGGGTGTGTGTACTTTTGCCTTCTCTGGTGTTTCACGAAAAGATACATGTATTTTGGTTTTATAAAAGGTTGTTTTGAAGGGGTCTGTAAGCTAACAGCAGTTTGTAACATCAGCCGAGTTTTCCAGGTTATTTTATTCGACCTAATTCTCTGTCATCCATCTTTGAAACTGATACCTCCGTTTCTGTCCTCCTTGTGTCCGCGGTGCTTACTGCGCTTCATGGCTCAAAGCAGATCTTTACGTGCTCTGTGGAAGACATTGAAAGAGACGATTAGTTATTACATTCACATTACATTTGTGCTTTCATATAGAAAAACATTGGTATAGGTCAGTGTTTCTCAAACTTTTTCATACCAAGGACCACTTAACCAATAAAAAAACACTCGCGGACCACTTAACTCCACAAATATCCCAAAACACATCGTTTTTTACAAATGGCCTGAAAATGGTACAAACAAGTGGCCACATGTGTGATGAAGGTGTTTATCTGGGCTATATCATGCAATCAAAAGTTAAACTTAAGCTCGCTCCATTGCGGAGATATTCCCGCGAGAGTGCGGAAAACTTAAATTTATTTATTTATTTCAAATGTGAAATGTTACCAATATACTCACGGACCACTAGGGGGCGCTCACGGACCACCAGTGGTCCGCGGACCACACTTTGAGAAGCACTGGAGGTTGTTGGTTAAAAATCTGCAATAATAACTACTTTTAAGTAACTTTTTGTATGCATGTTGTGTCTTCTGCCTGACAGCCACAGCAGACTGAAACTCGACACCAGCGTCTTGCAGACAGAAGGAGGCCGACAACTAATTGCCATCAAAAAACAATGTCCAAGAGCAACTGGAAACTGCCTTAATTATTAAGAGCATTTCAAATATTTAGTCCTCGTTCATTCAAAACCCAAACATATGAGATATTTCGCAGTGCAACGATAGAAGGACAGTACGTCGTATGCTATCATTTTTAGATGGGTGTCGGTTTGATACCACACCCTGGATTAGCCTTCAAAAAGGGCTTTCAATTATTCAAATCAGCTGACCTTAATACATGCATTAAAGAGGATACATTTCACTCGCATTGTGAGAAATAATCCACTTAAAATGATTAATCTGTAACAATTAACCAGCAAAAAGCCCTTTCCACAGGTGTTTTCATTTTAAAAGTGTGTATTAGTTGATATCTGAAAGCTCTCCACATCAACATGTCATTAAATAATTGTCTTATTTATTCAAAACATGTTCTAGTCTCATTGCAGACTTCTAGGGCTTTGACGTTACTTAAAAATATATAGGAATTACTTATTTTTCTTTATTACATATATGAAAAGGTGTATATATAACTTACAAAGCCTCATAAAGAACTGACAGATATGTCCTACAAGTTTTCTTACAATGTTCAGTGTTTTGTGTACAGGTAAAAAAACTGAAAACTATGGAAATAATGCACCTTGTATTTTTTTTAAACATGTCCCAATGCTTGAAACCTTGTTCAAACTAAGAAGTTCGTAAAAACAATTAAATAAACGTATCTTGCAGGTGTAAGAACAACTAAAAAGGCATGTAAGGAAATACAAGTGTTGAACGTTTCTGTGTTTTTAAAATAAAGGAAACGTGCGCAATATATTTTACTAGTCTTTAGAAAGTCCCTCATCTTTCAGATATCATGCAAACACACTAAGGCTTGAATAACAAAGCTGTACCAGACACATTAGATATTTTTTAAACATGATTGCGGATAAATAAATGAAATGTTATAAATACATACCATACAAGAAAAGGCTGCTCGTCTCCTCTGACTATCTCCAGGTAAACAGCAACGTCTGAGTTTTTCCTCTGAGACAGAAGCACCAACACTACATAAACATTTTGGACTTTTACGCAGCAGCAAGGAATGAGTGTTCAAAGTAAAGTTGCACAGAAAAGAATTGGGTTGGTCCAGGTCTGAAGTTTGGCAGGAGTGATGTGATACTGCGATGAATAGTGCATGAGAGGTGAACCTGAGACTGGTAACTATAACTAGAGACCGCTGAGAGACGTCACCGTGACTACAGGCTGCCAAGAGAAAACAATATATTACATTTTACTTCTTTAAATCCTCTGTTCATATGGTTGTTCATACGCCAACAAGTAACTTTTCCATACAGGGAAAAAGGAGTTTTTGTTATTATTAGACATATAAACTGTAATTGTATAATGATTTTGCACAGTGGAGTACAAAAGCCTCATCCTAGTGATGATCGATCGCAAAGTACACGATGTTGACTTAAAAAAGGCACTTCACTGTCATCAATGTTCATATACTGAAATCAAACTGAGGGCATTATGAGAAAACTGATCAATCAGCGTTTAAGGTGCGGAAACAATTTAGGGCTTTCTGTTTTGTTTTGCGACATTTAATTGTTCGTTTGTTAAGTTTTTAATCCATTTCCAATTTCAGTTTTTTGGTTGTTTTCAAATTGAAAGTCACATTTTTGTATCCTCACATGTTAAAATAGGAATGTTCTGGTCATTGTAAGTTACTGGAAAGTATCCCAACATGTTAGTGCTTTCATACATTACATGTCACGCTTTTTATCCAAAGCTGTGACCCCCTGATCCCAACACCAACGCACAACCCACTGCGCCACACACTTGAATAAAATATGTTCTATTGTTTCAATATCTGAATTACAAAAAGCTACATATATCTAAATTGAACCAGTGGTGTAAGAGGTGATCGCAGGGGTCAATCTCATTCATGACTTTAAAATAGAAAGGACTTGAAAGGAGAGGTGACTTATTACATAATTATTTGTATATTTGTGGAAGATAAGTTAGTTTTTAGGTGCTTTTTAGAAGTATTAAAGTATCAGGCATGCTACAAAATGAAGCGAAACACACATTGTTGTATTTAAAAGAATTTCAACACATGCATCTATTCGCTCTTGAAATGTAAATTGCAATAGATAGCATAATGTATATTAAAACAATGCGTGTGCAAGTCTTCAAAATGTTATATCGCCACGCTTCAAATGATAGAATGTCATGGAAGTAAACACGATGTCAGGCCAGCCGAGTTGGAACAATGCTCTGCTTTAATCTTTAATAAGGTGCCGCTCTAACTGGGTCGACACTCTGTCTTTGGTCATGGAATCACTTCATGGTGTCAAGTCTTATTTTGCAATGCCTTTTGTTTAAAAATGCATTCAGCTTTAGAAGGCTTAAAAAGGGACCCTAATTCTGAATGCTGAAAGGCGACTCACTTGTACAAGGATCAATTAAGGAATCATGGAGTTACCCCATAAAAAAGCAGTGACTAGGGGAGTTGTTTGCAATGTTGAGGTATGCTTTAGCAGCCTATATTCATGTTCTTCTTATTGAATGCTGAAGTAAAACTCACATCTCATCAATTACACATACAGCCAGTCAGCCATACGTCAAAGTCTAAAGTTGCCGGTGTCCGATGAAACAAGGCTCTGAATTATTCAAGCGCTCCAGTCAGGCTTGCATGTGGCATCCTCATTATGTGGAGGCATCACAACAAAAGAAATATAATTAAAAGGAAAACTTATTAGAATTTTAATTAAATTGGTAAAAAGTCTTTATTTTACGCATTTTGCATTCTACGTTCAAGGATGCTTAAGAAAACGTATTAAGTCAATGTTTATCAGACAAAACATCATGCCAAGCTTTATGTATTCCTTGTCTTTACCTAGAACTGTAAAGGATGCATCTATATCCTGCACATTTACTGTAGCAGGAAGTGTTTGATACTCTAAGTGACACATGACCACCCTGTTGAGGGACTCTGCTCTTAATTACACGATGCATTTCCAGCCACCAGAAGTTGAAGAGTTTCTCCAGATTGGCCGCTGAACATGTCAGCAGTCGTGCAGAGTTACTGCTCGCCCCTGTAGTCTAATGTACTGACCTCATCTCTGATGGGTGTTGTCGTCAAATGCAACTTTAAACACTTTGAGGTAGACATCCGCCACCACCAAACCAAAGCTCTGTGGTGTAGGCTGCACGATTTGGAGAAGACAACTTATTACGATTATTTGACTAACGGTGTACTACTTACCTGTTTATTGTTTTTATTATTAATAACGCGTGCCTGCCTTTTTATTCATTATATAAGTCTACTCTTTGTACTTTAATCTGCACTGTACCTTTACCTCTGATTAAAATGGATATTGTGGTATGATAATCAATATTAGAGTAAATCATTTTTTAATCATTATTCACATTATCAGAGATAAATTTCATCAAATAATTACGGTGTGATTTTTCTAAGAGGATCTCTACCAAACAAATATGTTTTGTTAATCCTGTAGAATACAATTTGCAGGCCGAAATATCTCTGCAGCTGCACAAATATCATTAAAAAAAAATGTTTACACATATTTAGCCTTAAAGGGGACCTATCATGCACAATGCACTTTGTGATGTCTTTTATACATCAATGTGTCCCCGGTGTGTCAGGGGACTCACGCAGCGTCAGAAAATAAAACCCTCTCTCTTTTCCTCCGTACCCAAATCTCTAAAAACGGGGAACAACGGAGCTGATCCAGATTTGCGTCCGATATGACGTAATATCTGAAATGTGGACACACGGCCCAATCAGAAACGTTGCTATCAGAAACAATGCCCGACTGTTTTGGACGTAATGTGGTCGGTGTTTACATTAGCATCGCTAACACTCAGAGCTAACCTGTACTGGAGAGCATGTGTGTGAAGAAGCAGGAAGTAAAAAGGAACTCACCTTGTGGTATAACCGGCAAGAGAGAAAGCCTTTGAGCTCCAAACTGTTTCAGAGAGAATCCTTGATGATCCATGATATGGCGTTTCATCACGGCAGCATTTAGTTTAGACAGTAGCTGCCGGGTCCCGCATGAGCTCAGACCCCTGCTTTTTATTTTTTAAAGCTTTATCCCCAAATCAGCACTTTTGAAACAGGAAGTGAAATAGAGGGATATGAGGCATGGCTAGAATGATCTGTTTGGTATTTTGAGCAAAACACTTCATAGACATGTTTTTTTTTATTTGTATATATCTGAGACCTGTGCTATTGCCTAAAAATAAATATTGTGCATACTGCAATTCAAATGTTGCATCATGCCATATTGCAATTTCAATAAAATCTTGAATAATTGGGCAGCAATACACCATGGTTGACTTTTCTGGTCTGGTAAAAAAAAAACTAATATTTCAGCTTAAACACAACTTTTAATATCTATGCAATAAAACTGAGTCAGCCTATTATTTATATTTTGGATGAATATTTAGATGCCACTAATGAGTATGCATTAGCAAGCACCCAAGCCCTTAAACTGACACCTTTGACAATGTCGTCCAGGGTGAGCCACAGAACGACTTGATACTAACCCTGCAATCTTATCCCGTGTAGGTCCAGTGTCCAATGCCCTTTTTTGGCTGCAGGTAGTAGACCGGTGATCACCATCTTCTTTGTGCTCCATTGACTCTGCGGGCACACCACCTGACAGCGGTGTAGTGTTTCCTTATGACACATTTCGCTTTGATGAGGCAGTGTGGCGAGCTTCATCAGTGAAACACAGACAAAGAGCATTGTTATTTCTGGTGTCAGGTGTGTCAAGTGACCCCATGACTTTCTTAAAATGTATTATTAAAAGTCAAAATGACTGGTTTGTTTATTCTATAGCTTTTAAATGACTTCTATATAAAGAAACCCTAATATTTTATGTTCTTTGAGGCACTTGTGTAATCAACTATGTGCAGACACTGTCTCCAATTGTGAAACTGTATAGTCTAAAGAAAGACACAACACAAGCCTCCCTAAGACAGTGCTTACTTTGTTTCCAAAGTTATTTATTGAATGCATGATTAAAATAGCTAGTCAGCCTCTAGCAGTGATGTTAGTAGATTGACTCAAGTACTGTACTTAAGTAAAATGTTGAGGGACTTGTACTTTACTTAAATATTTAAATGTTATGCAACTTTGTACTTCTACCCCACTACAGTTCAGAGGTAAATGGTGTACTTGTACTCCACTACATGTATTTAATACCTTTAGTTACTTCACAGATGTAGATGAATGATGTGAAATATAATCAAGTGTTAAATCAGACTTTAGTTCCACCTGGAGTAAATCCACCAGCTACCCTGCAGTATACAAAGTCATTCAAACTAGCTGCACCTTCACCAGCTTTGAGAACACTTTCATGATCAATCATTATAAAACATATCATATATATTATTCTGAAATGGACCAATCTGCACAACGACTACTTTCACTGTCGCTACTTTCACTATATTTAGATGATAATACTTTTCTACTTCTACTTGAGTAACATTTTTAATGCAGGACTTTTACTGTAACAGAGTATTCCTACACTCTGGTACTTCTACTTTTACTCAAGTACCAGATCTGAGTACTTCTACTTTTACTCAAGTACAAGATCAGAGCACTTCTACCACCTCTGGCATTTAGCAAAACATACAGTATGTCTAAATATATCCTACCTAGATAATACTTACTGTGTATGTGTGTATGAGATAGCTGTTGTGGCCACAGTAATGAAAGGAAGCCCCACCTGGTGGTCAAAGAGGTTGATTTAAATGACAGCATGTCACCTGTTGTTCAACTCACAATGGACTCGTCTTTTTGTGTGCAAAGGTAGGCTGTGTTTAAATTCTGAGCTAAGCTAACTAGCTCTAATCGGCTACTTTGCTAGCTGTTACTGTATGGAAGCAAACAAGAGACAGAAGTATTCGAATTGTATTAGACACCGAATTTATAGCATTGAAAATAATTACTTTGAAAATCATGAATCTGAATTTGTTTTGCTCCGAATTTATCTATGTGAAATAAAAATGTAAAAATTCAAGTTAAAAAAATTCGAATGTTCA